ACGCTACCTTAGAGTTACTAAGTTTTTTTTCTGACATTTTGACCGTTTTGAGTTATTATAAGAGCTTGAGGTCAGAAACCAAATTTTCTATCTGCTCTATTAAACTTGTAAGATTATTCAGAGTCGTCGTCAAGATACTCAAAGAATAACTTTTGAAAAAGCTTGACATGTTATGAACCTCAAAATTTTTAGTGTCAAATTTCTCAAAACTTGATTCTGAGCAGTTAAAATTTTGTAATTTTAGGGTAGCTAGTAGTGGATTAGTCTTTAATAGGCCATCGGAGAAATTTTGGAACCAGAAGTGGTGCAGTTTTGTAACCCTAGGCTATTGGAAATTAAGTTTTTGAGTGAAGAAAAGTTCTAAATCTCTGTCCTGTACCAGAACTGTTCAGACCAATATGGGCTTTCACCGAGATTTGTGTAACTTTTTATATGCAATTATTCTACCTAGTCATATCTGAACTCAAACAGTTGTTGAAGGTAACAAATATGTTTGTTGCTCCTGATCTCCAGCTCCTAATTTTTTTCAGACTTTTTTATGGCAGTTGAGAGTATAGTATGTGCAATTATTTTATCAGTGCGCATTCTTTTTTAAAGCTTTCGAGAATCTGTCATTTATTTTAATTTGTATATTCATAATTTATTAGTTTCAAAGCTTTCAGTTTTTACCAAAAACTTCCTTAAAAATGTCCCCAAGTTGTTTCATGATAAAAACTGAATTATGTGGAAAGTGGAGACTCCTGGTTATAAATATTGAAACCGCTGTTCCGAGGTTGTACTGAGATCACAACTATTTTGGTGAGGGTGTATGGCATTCCTCCTCTGCACCTATCCTCCTGTGTTGCACAGTTTTAACTGTCTATCTACGAGTGGGGTAAACCCACTATGTTAAGACCCTCTTTTGGCACAAAATTTTCATAGGTGAAAATCTACCTTGAGAAAGGTTGAGGTGTTGAAAAGTCCTAGCCGCAGACATTTTTATAGCTACTCCTTTATTCTCTCTGCCCTGTGCTCAAACCAGAAGCTTTCCTACCCTTCTGATAATCAGGAAACAAACAATAGATCGACACAAGAGGCAACTATGTTGCATTTCACAAATGAGCCCCTTAAAATTATGACAACTCTTAAATATATTGCTTGTTTATATTTTTCTATACTTGAGTTTGATATTTGAAGTAAATCTTCCTGGGTGGTGAACCATATAAAAATACAATAAGGCTGACATCTATAATGTCATAAGCTGACAAAACACCTTTTTTTCCTCAGAACAGTTTCGAGAAAAAGAGGCTTTTTGTCAACTTAATCATTTTAAAAATAGAGTCATTTCGAAATTTGAATTCTAATGTATTGTATTCAAAAACTTGTCATAGTTTCAATTTGATAATTTCACACGAGTAGGGTAGCTGATCAGGCTTTCGATTTAGCAAATAAAAAATGTTGGCATCAAAATGAAAAAAGGCGTTTTGTCAGCTTACGGCACTATAAGCTTTCTTCACTACTTATGTTTTCGTAAACGTCTTACAGCACTTGCGACACCATTAATTAAGTCACATAGGTGCTTAACTTTCACTACTTCATATTTTATAACTCTTTTATATTGCCTTTAGTGATTAGTGTGCAATAATATTTGTTTGAATTTGTTGTTCTTGTTTTACATTCCTTTTTGATGAGTTTTGAAATTGAGATAATAAATGCAGATTGATACCAGTCAGACTTTGTTACTGTTTCATGTTTGCCTCCAAACTGTAACTATGAAATTATCTACAGTAAGTGACTGCTGTTACTTCTCTGTGCTGATGAAAAGGGCCAAATGTCCTGGCCGTGTGCACAAGATTGTTAGCCCTCCCAACAAGCGTAAGACTGATTTAGTCACAAGATGTACACATTAACATCTGTCTTTGAGATTGGTCAAGCTGTGCCAGGTAGCAGCTGTTGAAAAGTCGCTACTTTAGAATTACAAAGTTGTGTCTGTCATTTTTGTCCGTTTTGAGTTACTACGACCATGAGGTCAGAAACTTTATGTTCTATCTGCTCTATCAAAATCATAATATTATTCGAAGTCGTTATCAAGATATTCGAAGACTTGCATTCGAAAAAGCTTGACATGTGAAACTCAAAAATTTTAATGTCAAATTTCTCAAAATCAGCTACTGTGCAGACAAAACTTTTTAATTCTAGGGTAGGGAATTGTACAACTAAAAAAAACCCAAAATGACGGGTCGACCATACGGAATAGTGTAGAAAGAACAACTCACAGCTGAAGAAGATAAAGAAAAGCAAAATGAGAACCATTGTATATATATTGTGTTTTTTCATGTTTATTTTTCCAGCAAAGGTTTGCCTCCCCCCCCCCCCCACTAACCACATTGACAGAGCATCCTCAGTGGCTGCTACATAGCCGCAATGGGACAAATATCACTTCAAAAAGTACAAAACATTTTCAAGCATGTAGCAAATCATTTCACATTAATGAATTATTATTGATATAACATATCATTTTGGCAGCATTTGGACATCTTTGAAATCATTTCTTTAGGTTATTAAAAGATGATCATTGTGAGGATATTTTGTTTAGATATAAATCTCTATGAAATGCTTGCTTTTCAAATAAAATGAGAAAGAAATTATTTTACAAAACAAAAAGAGCAACTGTGCAACAACAACGAAAATCCCCCAAAATGTCCAATTAGGACTTGAGACTGACAATTTCCGAGGGAAAAGTCACATCCTTTCATATTCACAAAAGCAAACTATGCAAAATCAAAGTGGTTTCCTTGTAAAATCCTACCTTCTAAACAACAACAGTTTTCTTTTCTTTTTTTTGCAAGCACAGAAAAGAAAGATAAACTGGAGGCTTCCTCAAAGGTAGGCCCTACATCACAAAAATTAATTACTTTCAAAACCAAAATTTAACAGCCTCCTACTTTTCAAAATAAGACCCACAACCTAACTCTGAGGAAAAAGCTGAATGCAAGAACTTGTGTGGGCACCTCTAAGTCTAAGGCCTCTGAGTGATTATTATCATTATTTTCAACAAACATTTGGTTAGAAAAATGTACATAAATGTACGATCTTTATGTAACTGCCAGTAACTTCTTAAAACCAATTTTTTTTTAAATTAAAAGAGAGGTCAATTTAAAATATACACAAGAAAGTGGCATGCTCATGAAAAGATCCATTTAATTCGAATTTTTCAGTTCTTCAAGAAACATCAAATACATCATTTATCTTCTCGAAGCAGAAACTGCCATAGAACGATAATTCAATGCTGCACAACTGCAAGCCTCCATCTTGTTCCCCTAGAACATCTCTTCCACAGTTTCCCTAGAACATCTCTTCCACAGAGAGTCATGACTCCCGAGTACCCAAACCATGTCGGCATGGGAATATCACAAACTGTACCACAGCACTTACTATGTTTAGCCATATAGCTGACACATTGGTGCAACCAACCCTGGAGGTGTGTAAACTCTGAATTCAATGTTCCTGTGTTCCTCCCACAAACTCTGTATTTATTCAATGTACGTCACATGAACACATGAGAAACTGATACAACATATAATATTGCCAAGTTCACACACACACACACACTCAAATACACACACACTCACGCACACACACACGCATATGCTCACACACACACACACATACACACACACACACACACACACACACACACACAAACACACATATGCATGCATGCATGCAAACTCGCATATAACCCCATGCATATGTGCACACACACACACACACACACACACACACACACACACACACACACACACACTCCCGCAAACACACACACATACACACACACACACACACACACACATGCATGCATGCAAACTCGCATATACCCCATGCATATGTGCACACACACACACACACACACACACACACACACGCACACACACACACACACACACACACTCGCACACACACCCATCTTGAAAACAGTCCAGTCCTTCCAATAAGTCAAACTCGTTCACCTCCACACCTAACTCGTGTCCTTTGAATGCTATTGCTCACCCATTCTCAAACTTGACAACTCCCACAATTTTCCTCACAATCAACACAACCAATAACTGAAGACATCTCAGTCAGTTGCTTACATCATAAAACAAACTCTATTTTAAAAACTATCCCATGGTTCAGGGGGTTCAAATTAAATACATGGAATATTTCGCGACAAGTGGAAAAAATAATACAATGTGAGACAGGACTAACATTTTCAATTCTCAGACTAAGATTTCCTAACCCATGATCTGAAACAGAAAGTACCACACTGACTTTCTACCATTTAAAAAGAACATTTCATTTTCCTTTAAAAGAATAAAATCTAAAGTATCCAAGCAATTTCAACTATAAAATATTATTAAATATCACAGTGATTTCCTATGAAAAGTCTAATTCTCTTAATAAGTTAATAATCATCACAAGTCGGAGCCACAGTGCCAAACAAAGTGATCTCTCACTGGTAACGCAAAAACTAAAACTCTGAAAATCACAAATGCTTTCAATCACATAGCAAAGAAAATACTCTCATCGAAGTTGAAGTACCCAGAGAACAGTTTTAGAGGTATAATATTCACTATCACGTTTAATAAGAACAGCGGTAAAACTTCTAAATAACATTGACACATCACTCTTTCAGATGAATACTTTCAGAACAAATTTAATTCAACATATTTCTTAAGACAATATTTTAATCATTATAAGTCAAGAAAGCGACCCTCGAAAAAATCTTGAGCACAAGTAATCCCGTTGTTTCTTTGCCGCCCCCCAGTAGACTACAAGTACAAGTAACATCAAACTCTGGGAAAATAAACTGGGAAAGCCAGCAGCAGATTTTTTTTAAAAGAAAGGTTTCTAAGACTATCTCCATAAAGATTTTCTCATGTAGTAAATGTAAAGTCTCACGTATTGCAGTTTTTTTCTTGAAACTTAGAAGGAAATGCAACAACACTTTAAAACACATACCAATGGGTCTAAACTGATCATCTTCCACAAGGTAAAGATACTTTTACAAAGGCCTTTCCTGTCAACAGGACAAGTCTAAAAAAAAATAAACACATCTGAACAGATCACTTCCAACTAAAAATATATATCTCAACTGCTCTAGAAACATCCACATCTTCATATAGTATACCACAGATAGCTCGAATTCGTCAGGACCGGCCTCGATAGTTTGAAGGATCTATGTTGTTTGAGGAATATCTTACAAAGATAAAGAAGAAAAGGATGGGACCATAGGCACAGTTCGACGGAAGCGTGATTTCGAGTCTTCTGTATTCAACCTATCCACGTTAAACAGAACTTACAAAATTCAAGTTGAACACATTTATGCTTGACAATTATTATGTGAATATTTTTATAAGTATAATGACATTATGTAAAACAACAAAAGCAATTCCACCACCACTCAGCATTTGGAGACATGATAAAACCTTTGGTATGAAAAGCAGCGACATTCTGTCTCTACTTCTCTCCATAAGTGCACAGCAGATCACAAAGCAGTAAAAATAACCCCAAGGGTTTAAGCTGGAAACAATGAGAAAAATACACTGGAAATGGTGTCACTTGACAGATACATATTGCACATTTCTCTCTGGTTGTTTTCATACGTGTTACATCGAGGTGGAATTAGGCGCTCATCAGTTTTTGGGCATATGGAGTTATTCGTATAACCTTACAATTTGTGCATTTGTCTTGCTTTTGAAGAAAAATTATCTCTCTATCTTAAATAGAACTCGAGATGTTTCAAAGTAAAGCAGGTGGGGTCACTTGTTTTCAGAAGTAAAATTAGAGAGAAAATGGCCATCAAAGTTTGGCGATTTCCAAAGCTTTAAAGTCAATGGAAACTGAAAATTTACTTTTTTTATGGCTTTATTCAACGTTTTTCAGTAAAAGCCACACAACAATGTGTTTTTGAATGGACATAAAGTGTTGGGCCAAAAAATAAAAATTCCATAAGAGTTGCCAAATGGGAAGAAAAATACAGTTTTCTTCGTTTTCATTATTTTGACGAGCGCTTGATTTCACCACGCTGCCTCACATATCACATCGTTACGGCATTAGCAAAATAGCATAACTCAAGAGTTGTGCCAAAATGCAACAAGCGTCTAGAGCTGTGTTCACACGGGAGTGAGTGCTATAGAAATAATCTACATTATTATCATTACTGTAAGCCTTTTTTTATTGTTTGGTGATGCTTTCTATCTTTTCGTAAAACCAAAACAAAAATAAGCTGGCAGTCACAAAAGAAACTGGAACGGCAAGTTTTAGCCTACCAGTACCATTATTAGATGATAAACAAATAGTCTAGTTAAACAGTTTTTGCCATTTATCTCAAAAGTAGCAAAAATGAGATATGCCTTTTTGCAAGCGCAGTTAATATATTCAAAATAATAAAGTTGTTGAAATGAATCATCAGCAGTAAATAAAAGTACAAAATGAGGTGTTTCATATAATAATAATAAGTAGATCTCTATTAGATGCTGTAGTCAAACCAGTTAATGCTATTTTCTTTTGTGAACAATTTTTGCATCAATAAAAACTTCCTCAAAATATTCTAAAACATAGGAGTCATTATCTGATTACGAATAAAAATCCCAGAACATTTTGGACCCTATGGGACTGCCGCATGGAGACTCAACATTTACGGATCATATTGGCTAATATATCTTGTATCAAGGCTTTACAAAAAATTTTATACAGTCGGTTTGAAGTCCGGAAAAATGCAGGCAATTTCAGAAATCTGGATTTCCGAATTTATCGGGAAAAACATCCTCCTGTTAAAAAAGGCTATAGTCAACATGTCTCTGCTGAAACTATGAGAGTAGGTCTGTCCGAATTGGGTCTCTGAGCCGGATCAGCTTTTGTGCTTGTCTATGCTAGACGTTCATCAGATGGAAAGTGAATCAATGATTTATCTCCGATGTCAACACGACCAAACACACTCAAGACAATCAAATATTGGTTGTGTATATTTATAGAAAAATTTGCTTAACTTGTAATGTTATGATTGCATTTAAAATAACTTCCAATAAGAATTTCAATTTTTTTTAAAAATGAAAGTTCTTATCTGCTTCATGACCAATCAATAAAAATGCAGACTTTATACTTTACTTTTGCACTTCATTCAGTCTTTTCATATGGCAGTCAGTCTAAGATGGCCAACCACAAAGCATATATAGCCTACCAGAGACCTCAATAGTGTCAGTTGGGTTAATAACATTAGTGTACGATCAGGGCACAAGCTGTCTGTCTTACAATTCCCAGATTTTCCTGAAAACCCATCATCAAGAAGCCTGGACTAAGCTTCCAAAATGTCCATAGTAAGCCTTCAAACTTAAAACAGACCTAAACTCTTAAAACTTGCCAAGAAAATTAACCTCCTTTGAATCTTGGGTTCAGTTCAAACAACTAAAATGTTTTCACCAAAATAGGCTTATGCATCGTGAAGAACTAATTTCTTCAACTACTTACAGCCAAAATCCAACAAGCATTGTCCTCACAGGACTTTGGTCCCCTCTGCCAACATGCTGATGTCAGTTTACAGTTTTCTCTCCCTTTTCCTACAGCAGAGAGAAACATACACCTTGTCAGTTTGCAACTCCGTCACTGACTGCTTTCATCAGATAGCTATTAAAGTATTCACATATCAGATAGAGAGAGTACACCGCCCCCAAAAAACAACAACAAACAAACAAACAAACAAACAACAAAACCCACAAACATTATCTGTCTTGCTACACAAGAAGTATGCTTTTCAGACATGTATTTCTATCACAGTTGAAGGCAAACAAGGCAGGCATAGACCCAGAGCAATCTCCTTGGAGAGTCTAAACAGATGGGAAAAGATCAGGATACCGTAGCTTTTTTTAAAGTGTCCAAGCAAAGTAATGAATGGAGAACCATGATTGCCCAAGTCCATATGCTATTTTTGCTGATGATTTCTACCATCGACATCTTCAAGCCTTTGTCTGTCAAAATACTCACATCTAAGACACAAAAATGTAAGCCTGATAGTTCAAAGAGCACAGCGCCATGTTGGGGCTCAAAGACTGAATGGAGAACCACGATTGCAAATGTCTATCTGGCACTTGACGACAATTTCTACTGCTGACATCTTTAAGCATTTGTCTGTAAAAAACTCACATCTAAGATGCAAAATGTAAGCCTAACAGTTCAACAGTTCAAAAAGAACAGCGCTGTGTTGTGGCTGATCTGAGGCTGACAGAGTCTCAGAGACTGACGGGGGTGCAGAGACAGCCAGAGTCTCAGCTGTCTATGACCACGCCCTCCTCATGGTTGCTGTAGCCGCTCTGTTCCTTCCACCAGGACGAGATGTCCAGCGACACGTTCCGGCCTACCAGCATCGAGTCAGAGCTAAACGCTGGGATGAAGGGAGGGGCCGATGCCTCGGAGCTGCTCTCGGTCACCAGTGGAAGCTGCTTGCTCGCTGTCGACAAATTTGGTGTACAAAAATTTTGGGGGTTGATCATGATGATGGTGCGGTTGGTGTCATAGGATAGGATCTAACACTCCACTGTAAGATCATTTCAGAGGTGAGACATTTGAATTTAACAGTTTCCAACACTGCCTCTCTCACTTTGTCTTTTCCTGTCTTCTTTCTCTTCACTTTTCTCTCTAACTCAAACATTTATACCATGACACTTGGTGAGAATTTAGATAAAAGATAAGGTAAATATGTATAAATTAAAAGTTGGGGCATCTGAATTTTATCGTCAATTTGTAATAGTACAGTAGTCTCCGCCTAAGATCCCAGTGCTCAGGAGCAAGGAATTGCGGGATCTTAGGCGAACCGGGATCTTAACCGACGAACCCAGGGAAGAATCTATGGTGACCCATGCTAAAGCTCACAATCGGTAAAATGGTCTCCCTCCACTCTAAAATGAACTGACGTGACCCCTGGGTGGGTTTATGGCATATGGCGAGCATAGAATGGTTAACCTTGATGGCCTATCACAGTGCATAGTGGGATGAGGCGTGCCATTTTCACTTATTATCCTGTCATGCGTCTCAAGATCTACGCTTATCCAGTTGCCCCTCCCCTTTACCTGTCAAAAATTTATAGCTTTCCATCTCTGACCGAGTCCCCCTTCCCCCCAACCGCCTTTGTCGTTACGCACCATTACGTTGTGAACACACCAATTAAAATTCAGTCTGTCTCGCAAATTCTTGAGTAGAGACAACTGCTGCAATGGTCAGGGAAAGAGTTCACGGTTCAATGTGATCCCACCTGGAGCTAACGTGTAGCTCTACCCACCCAGCGAGTGATGTAAGTTTAGGGGGAGAGCTCAGGTGTGAGTGCAATGCGTGGGGAAAACAAACGTGTCGGTCAGTTCACACTCCAGTGTGATCCCGTCTGGGGAAAACATTGCATCCCTTCATAGAGTTTTACAACGTGTATGTGATCACATTCACGATAGTGGCTGATCTTTGATGTGACGGACAGTTTATTGATCCCAACTTTTCACTCTTGGTTGATCAGCTGTGCCCACCTGGGTTTTTGTTCCTCAAATTATGATCTGAAATGCGGGATCTTAGCCGAATGTTGACCTTCAGAGGGGATCTCTCTCTCTCTCTCTCTCTCTCTCTCTCTGTTCTACGCTTTTCTTCTTTTTTCTTAAAACTCGAAATTTTCACAAGCAGCAGACATAAAAATACATTAGTATAATATTCTACGTAGTCTTGTAAGAGAGACTCACCCTAACAGTAAAACAGTAAAATAGAGAGAACAGACTTAAATATCTCTAAAACCCCTTCCACATAAATAATGCCCTACTTAAATGCACCTAATAAAGAAAAAAAGAATTGTTACTGCACGCTTCTTAATAAGTGCATGAATCATTGTTCACAATAATGTTTCTGAAAAACCAAAATTTATCCTAAAACTGAAACATCTAGTGCACAGTAACAAAAATATATTTCTCAACATGATGTTAACAGTCAATTAAGGAACTGGATAATATTCTTACAGCTGCGTTTTCTCAGACTGGACCTCTCCTTATCCCCTCTGGCAGTTCCGTCGCTCAGCGTGGGGGTCAGGTACTTCCTGGAGGAGGAACCCTGAACAAAAGAAAGTGACAAAATTTTCCTTCCGAATTTCACAAGCAATCGACTTAACTCTTTAACTCTTTATCTCCGAGGGGGGTAAACCCACTACACCGCGCCCTTTTTTTGTACTAAATCTAAAAACGACAAAAATGTCATTAAACTGGTCATTAAATCAAAGCAAGAGAACCTATGTTGATAGTTTTTCATCTAATGAATGAGCTCCACATGAAAAAGACCTGTTTTCAGGAATCTCTGGATTTTTTCCAGATCTCATGAAATACTTGATGAGGTAACAATGTGAAGTGTTCATTAAATGGCTAAAAACTGTGTCCAAGTAAAAGAGGAAGTAGTTTATACATTTATCTAACACTTCCGAGTCAAAATAAATCTGTATTTGGATTTGTAACAGATTGCATTTGGAGGAATACTTCATGCGCTCTGCGATCTGACTGGACACTGGAAAAAAATGTCCACTCAGGGAGCTGGCCAGTTTTTCTCTCGACATTCCCATCGTCCACTCGGGGTTGTAGAGTTAAGGCCAAACTTTGAGAATTTTCCATTTTTACAACCTCCCAAAGCTCAATCTATAATGCATTTTTCAACATCATCAAAGTACAGTTGAATGCTATGGTAAATAAAGGCTTACATTTTTCTTGCTTTTCGAGATTCCAGATAGGAACAACATAACAAAAACTAACTTTTTGTTTTAAAAAACAAGTTTTTGTTTCTGATGTAAAATGTACCCAAACAGACTTAAGTGGATTGCTTGCAACACCTATGATTTGTTTTTGATTTCAGTGTCCTACTGGATAAAATTAGTTTCTTTCAAAGGCACTTCCTCCTCTACGAGGTGTCAGGCTGTATCTCTTTTAGACCAGACACTTAGTGAGAATTTAGACAAAAGATAAGGTAAATATTGGAGCTGAAACCTATTTTATACTTACTCCGATTTACAACTCTTTGGAGTATATGTCACAGCTGCCAAAAATGCCCTAATTTTCTTCTAAATTGTGTTGATCAGGGTAAAAATATTTTCCATTAATCAACGTTTTACAGAGTTGATCTACACTGGAATTTTCCATGTCAACCTAGAGAGACTGACCTGTGTGGACGCTGGGGGTTGTATGACCGGTGTGCGTAGCTCCACATGGCCCTTCTTTCGTGTACGGGGCGGCGCTGCTCCTTCCTCCTTGTTCTCCTCCTTGTTGTCAGGGGCGGAGAGAGACAACTCCGTGACTGTGAATAGTGGCTCGTTGGTCGCTCGCAGATTAGAGATGATGTTCGAGTGTTCACGCTGAGAAAATATTGTTTACAGTTTATTAAGTTTCTTCAGTGTTTGAGGCCATTGGCCCACATCACATCATATAAAACACTCGTTTGTTAAATAAAATTTCCACAATGAAAAAATAAAAGTAGTGCACATATCTCTTATCATGGGTTAAACAGTACATATTTTTGTCACTGAGCTCAGTCAGGCTGGAAAGAATTAACAATTTCCTTTGATGGGCGGAGAGAATAAATAGATACTGGAAGAAAGAGGAGCTGAAAGATTCTTATATGATAGAACATGTCTAGATAACAAGAAAGAAGGTGAAAGAAGAGAACTTTTCCGTCGCTGTCAGGACCTATTGAATGAGAAGTGAACACAATTCCTCCACAGCATGAGAGCCCCCCCCCAGACACTTGAGTCACACTATGTAAAGTCCCCCCATTCACAATAGTTAAAGTTCAGATATGAGAAATCGCTGAAACCATAAATTAATATTAGGCCTTTGAAGGAGCATTTGAATATTATGGGAAAAAAAATGTAAAGGAACACAAAACTACGATACCCTAGATTTTATTTCCTTTTAAATGAGCGTTCAGAAAAATAAAAACCAACTCCACACAGTGTAGCCTAGTGCTGAAGTACTATTCAAGACCAGCAGCCCCACAAAGAAGAAAGAGGAGCTAACGATGTCTGTAACATCCACTCACAGCTCGGATCCTCTTCAAACACTTGTCCAGCCAGTTCCGTATGGTCTGCTTGGCCACCTCTTCCTCTATGGTGAACTCCAGCTCTTCTCGGGCCAAGGACTCCTCCAGCTGTAGAGACTTCCGGATGTCCACAGAACGGTACGATAACATACTGAAAATAGAAGAAACACATGATGTATGCAGACTGGCGAGAGGCAATACAAAGCAGCACACTCACGAGGATTGTATGGATCTTTAGCCCTGGTCATGCAGGAGTTCCGAGGCAATGAACGTGTTGATAAGCTAGCCGGTCAGGCTGAGATTGGCGGCACCATGCAATTGGATCCACCAACAGTCATGGCAGCATTGACAGCATGGTTCAACGACCACAGAGAGGATGAAGGCAACACATTACACATAATGGAAAGACTGAGGAAAGCTGGTGTCTCTAGAGGGTACGGGAGAGACAACAGCCTGCATGGAAAAGCTAGATGAATATCCAACCAGCTCATAACTGGCAAGATCAGCAAGCAGCCCCTTTCATGGGTTCTGGGACACCTTATTTCAACTGATATTGCATGCATGCTCTCTACTGTCAGTTTTGTCTTGTCAAAACTTGACTATTGCAATTTTGTTCTGTTTGGTATTTCATATGAGAGAATAAGAAAATTGCAAATTGTACAAAATAACACAGCAAGACTAGAAGAAATAGAAGCCTTGATTTCAGAAGAAATAGAAGAAAGATCCTGCATCAAAAATGTCAAAAGCTCTGCATTAGCTTCCAGTTGTTAAAAAAATCCAATATAAAGTTTCCACCATCTGCTATTATAAATATATGTCTTAACAATAAAGCCCCATCATATCTATCTGAGCTTTTTTTAACACCATAAGTTCCATCTCTTCAGTTACAGTTATCCACAGACGCAACAAAATTCAGAGCCCCTAGAATGAAATTAAGATCTTTTGGTGAGAGAAGTTTGGATGCATCATCACCTTTTGTATCAGTCACAATGGATGCATCATCACCTTTTGTGGAATCTGCATCACCTCTGACACCGTATCAGCCACATCTGGGTTGCCACCCACTTGGTGGTTCGTCCACATTGTTGATACTTCCCACAGTAACTACTATATAATCTACCTAGTGTGAAAGCCACACATGGTCAGAACTCCCAATGCATGAAACTGAGACTTTCTCGAGGCTACACAGCAGTCACTATGTGGATACTCTTGTGTGGGTGCCAGTGGTACACATATTCTTGAACTACCAGACTTAAAAATAGCATCATGGCTATCAAAACCACGCAGCAGTAAACATCATATGAGCGGCATCATGGTGAAATCAGGCGTTCGTCAAAATATTGAAATCAATGAAATCGGAATTATTTGGGCCGATTGGCAATTTTTTTCTTATTTTCTTTTTGGGGTTCAACACCTTTAACATTCAATTAAAAACATATTTTGTGTGGATTTTTACTGAAAAACATTGATTAAAGGCACAAAAAATTTAAATTTTCAATTTCAAAGGACTCTTAAGCTATGGAAATCGCCAAACTTTGGCGGCTATTTTCTCACTAATTTTTACTTCTGAAACCAGGCGAACGCACCGCACCTCCTTCAATGGCAAATATCTCGTCTTCTATCCAAGATAAATGAATTTTTTTTCATCGAAAGCAAGAAAAACAAATAAAATAACCTTGAAGATGATACCAATAACTTCATATGCCCAAAAATTAATGAGTGCCTGATTCCACTGCATCTTGACACATATTATGCTTTGTCCAAACCCATGCAGCAGTACATCTCGTATGCTTTGCCCAAAACCCTCTCATCACGGAGCTTTTCAATTGTTTTACGTCCAGTAAACAAAAAGTTTTCAGCAAAGAGAAAAAATACTGTTTCATTCTTTTCAAATTTATACATTAATTATCATATTTTTTATGCATCTTTTCTTGCTTTTTTCGTTTAGAGTTTGAATTTTGACAAAATATTTCTCGAGCTCGTGCAACCAATACCATAGATTAAGAAAGTATAACAAAAATATTTTTAACAATTTTAGGGTTCGTGCATCTGAACAGTTGGTTGATGTGTTTTGGCTCAAGTTTAAAGCTGCTGTGCACATATTTTAACTCTGAACATTCAAGGTCCATGTCAAAGAACAATGCTTAACCTTCACTCTATATCTCCAAAGGGGGGAAAAGCACTAAATATGCCAGGGCCCTCTTTTGGTATGAAATCTAAAATTGACATATACGTCAGTAAACTGGTCATTAGATCAAAACAAGTGAATGTATTTTGACACTTTTTGTCTAATGAATGAGCTCCAGCTAAAAAAGATCTGTTTTCGGCAAAAGTAATTTGATGTTCAAGTCGTCGTAAAGGAAGGTGCCTGAGCCACTGCTAGCCCTTCATCGGCACAATGGTTCCAACTGAGAGCCACTGGGAGCAGCTTGCTGGAGATAAGGAGTTAAGTCATGGAGAGTTTATTGGAGTTTGCACCACAATAATATTTTATAATATTCAAGGTTGAAATCTACTTAATTTTCAGAGGGAAATATCTCCAGTTCTAGACAGGTCTAGTTAAACAACAAGAAAGCGACCATTCTAAAGTTTTTTTGTTTCTGTTTCATATTATGCATCAGAAGGAAGGGCCCCAATGAAAAGCCTGGATTTAGAAATAAAACCCCCTTTATTAACAACCACTAAATTGCCAGCTCGATTCCTGTTTGGTGATATATTTTGTTCTCAGCTGCAAGGTTTACTGAACTTCCCACAACTCATACCGGAAAAATTACAGCTCAAAAGATCCATAATTTATGCTTGTTTTTCCTCCTTTGAGCCAAGACAGAGCCCCTTTTAACAACAGCTCACCTGAGCACATCATGGAAGGTGACCTCTGCCCCCTGATGAAGCTTCTCAATCTCGTAGCACATGTGCTTGAAGAGAAGCCGATCACGCTCCAAGTCCACCTCCAGTCTTCCCCTCAGGAGGCGAAGCAGAAACCGTACGCGTCTCGCTGGGATCATGCCCTGTTGACCACGTATGGAGAAAACACAGCAATAGTGATTACAATGTCAGACAGAGATAGTGATTAAAAAGTAAGACAGACAGAGATAATGACTACAATGTAAGACAGACAAAGATAGTGATTACAATGTAAGACAGAGATAGTGATTAAAAAGTAAAGCAGAGATAGTGATTACAACATACAATAGAACATGGCTATAACGGGACTTTTAGCTCCAGAAGAAAAATCCTGCTGTGGGAAAGTTCCCACTTTAGGAACGCAAAGGGAAATTATTGAAAAATCACACAATACATGCTCTCCTCTTCATTTACTGTCTTTTTGGGCCTAGCCTAGGCCTAGAGCTATGGTATATCACTTTTGGAGTGGCTCACGTAACGCGTCTCTCCGCACCATCTCTCTCTGCCGCCTGCCCCACCTCACTTAGCACTGGACTGGCCAATCACAATGCCGCATTGCTGTCTGTCTGTTTGGAGCCCATCTACAGCCCCCCATCCCCCGCACCCCCCACCCCCTTCTCCCCAGCCAGAGCTCCCTCAATTTCTCCCGTTGTATCCAAGTTCGGGCCTTTCCTTGTCCCTTTAAACCCAAGCACAGTTAATTGAGTTTCCACAGACAAAAAAGAGGGGATACCGGTAAAGTTCCGCTGTAGGGATAGTCTTGCTGTAGTGAATGCCACTTTAGTCATGTTCTACTGTACAGTGATGGAGATTACAATGTAACACAGACAGAGATAGTGATTGCAATGTAGCACAGAGATAGAGATTACAATGTAACACAGACAGAGATACAGGCAGAGACAGTGATTACACTGTAGCACAGGCAAAAAACAGGTCTTTATTCTTTTGAGGGTTTAGTCAATGGAAGTTCCTCCATTTGTTTTAGTATAAGAGCAACAATTATATTTGAGCTTGAGTGAATGAAAAGCATATTTCCTCACAAATAAAGTACTTTTTAGACTTTTTTATGAGAGCATAACTGTTTCAGAACACAATCAATCTGTTTTGTGTAAATGTTCAAAAGTCTTGAGTTGAATGTGGTAATTTTTTCCCCCAGGAGGAAAAGGCACAAAGTTTTACAATTACAAGGTCATATGAGCGCCCGGGACACACCTAACATTTTCAGTTGGTAGGAAATTTTGAATTTCACCCGGGCGGCTGCCGAAGCCTACTCTTATTGATTTTGGACCACCGAAGGATCTTTAACGTCCACAACTTGCACACTGGACCTCCAAAATTTTTCGCCCTTGTCCAAGAAGGCTAGATGTAGATCTTCCCTACCAGAAAATCAGGGGTGTGGCTGAAAGACAGTAGTATGAAGGAGCCAAGGAGAGGCAGTTGAAACGCTGCAGAAAGAGTCGGGAGCCCAGCGGAGGGGGCAAAGAAGGTGAGGGGTGGGGGCAGCAAGTGGAGATGAAAGCAGACGACAGAATATGGCTAGAAAGCAGGAAAGGAGGTGAAAGGAGACAATTTTCGAGAAGAATATTTTTCCATCGCTACGCGGATTCAAACCCAGGACCTTTGAATGAGAGGCAAACACCTTAACCTCTAGGCCACGAAGACCCCCACTCCTCAGTATGGTATATCTATGTACAAATACTGGTTCAGAAGGACAAAGCATTAATGCCTGACCTTTGCTTCAAATGACCCTGTGCTGTCCAACGTCTGCAAAGGACTTATTTGCTTTTTAATAACATTGGCAGATTATTTCTACTGCATCTTATCTAAATTTTTGCTTGGTTTCATTCTGAACATAACTAAGCATACGCCAAAAGTCGTTCAATTAGGCAACGTCTCTTCTAAATATGTGAGGCAGCGTGGTGGAACCAGGCTCTCGTCAAAATAATTAAACTTGCATTTTTCCACAGGTTTGTGAACTTTGAAAAAGTTTTTGTTTTTTGGCTCAACACCTTTCATTCCCATTAAAGAACTCATGTCTGTTTGGATTTTTCTGAAAAACGTTGATTAAAGGCTCAAAAAATGTAAATTTTCAGTTACCACGGACTCTTAAGCTAAGGAAATAACTAATCTTTGGCAGTCATTTTCTCTTTAATTTTACCCCTGAAAACAGGTGACCCCCACCTCCTTCTTTCGCAAATATCTTGACTTGTATTCAAGATAAATGGGTATTTTTTTCATCCAAATAAAGACAAGTGAATAAGCTTTAAGATGATACCAATACCTCTACGTGTCCAAAAATTGACGAGAGCCTGATTCCACCACGCTGCCTCACATATGTTTGGACTTTCGGTTGACATAGCCTAAATTCTACACACACAAACCTTTTGATTTATAACAACTAAATCTACTCATACTCATACCTTTCGGTTGATGTCCACTAAATTCCATGTGTTCTGGAACTGACGAATGTCGTTGTAGCTGAGTAAAGCATCTTCCTCATTAGAGTAAAACAGGGAGAAGTTCTCCATGATAATAGCTGCAACACAAAAGAATAAAAGAATGAAGATTTGTCTTAGAGACATTTTTCAACACAATAACGACATGAGTAGGTGAGCATAATGCAGAATGTATAATATGATGATCACCTCTCTCTCTCTCTCTCTCTCTCTCTCTCTCTCT